CCCCCCAAATGCCTGTGCACAGCGATGACAAACACTACGGTCTAAGAGCACCTGAAGCTGCAGCAGGATCTTGAGAGGAGAGGTAATACTGCATGAGGGTCTGTCACAGGAGGCCTGGCTCAAAGGTTTACAGTGGCAGTGTTCTAGTGTCCATGTGTCAAACAAAATACAAGGAGCCCTGGAATGTCTTTAGGAAACATTTAAGAATACTGTGTAAACATTTGATTTAGTTGCTTTTTAAGAGATTAAAAAATTAAATGGTGGATTTTTCATATGTCAATTTTTAATCTGTTTTGGTTTTAACATTTAATCTCCAGTGTTCTTCCATTTGTGCTTTAAGTTGTCAGTCTCACTTTGATGGTAGCAGCAGCAACGTTGTCAAGTGAGGTTGCACTTCCAGTGCTAACCAGCATTTGTCAACTCAGCAGCAGCCCACTGGCTGTTAACCAAACACTGGCTCAGCCGTGCTGGCCAGCCCCAGTTTATAACGGTTGCACACATCTGGGCAGGAACATACATTGCAGCCACAGGTATGTAGAGAATCTTTGGTGAACAGTGGTTGTAGTGTGGCCATGAGTCTGTTTTTGCTATGGTCCACAGAGCAACACACATACCACCTTAAACCAAACTTTGAGTGGAATGACACCAAGTTTCAGCATTAACATTGGTCTTATGTTAATTGCCACATTTTGATGTTGAAGCAATTCATGGTATATTTGGTAGTGTGTTTTGGTGCTCAGCTTGGTTTCAGACTGATGGTACGAGTGCACAGACATGTCAGAATACGGCCTACTAGAAACTGCCAGACACTGTCTTCTTGAAACCATCCCAATCTGTGTGGGAGGTCTGCATAAGATTTGTGATTGTGATGACTTTTATACTCGGTTTATCACAGGCATACATTTTCTACACTTTAAACGAGACTGAGTTTACGACTGTGCTACCAGCTCTGTGAGGCTCTAAGCAAAATAGTGCTTTGTGCTCAGTTTTATTGCTAATATGCCTTTATTAAGCAGCTATATGATGTTAATCTTAGTTTGTTAGCATGCTAGCGTTTGCTAATTGGCATTAAACACAAGGTACAGCTCAGTCTGATAGGAATGTCATTGGTATTGCAGGTATATAGCCATAAAGCAAAGTACCTGATCATGGCATGAGATGGAAAAATCAATGATCAGAGTTATTATTCTGAGTGGGACTTAAATGGCTGTACCGTATTTCATGGCAAACCACCCAGTAGTCCAGATATTTCACTCGACTACAAACATGAACTGCATGGGGTACTAGAGGAAAAGTCGTAAGATCATTACAGTCATTGTGATTCATCAAGTGTCATTTTAATAATGGTTAATATGTGTGGACCAAAGTGGTCAACTAACATTCTCCAGCCAAGCCACCAGCATTAATATAAACTGAGGCATACTGTGGTTTAGAATGGATTATTTATTTGGCATAAATTGTCTCTAAAGATTCTTAATGAGTCTTGTCATGCATGTAAAATTTGTGGTCAACTATTGTTCTTTTTCCGTTCCCTGACAGTTAACACGGTGTATGAGGTGGTTTTTATGGCATCCTCCACTAACTTGAAACTTATTTGAGAAGTTTTTGTCCCACAGGGACATCTTTATCCCCTGAATATTGAATCAAAAGACACATTTGTTACCAGCTGGTGAAAACTTAGATGGTTTGTCAGTCTCAGCATCAGTGGTGAGTGACTGAAGTATGTGAGAGGTCGGGGTGGCCTGGGAGGGAGAGGTTACCCTCACCTTGACCCTAGAAGAAGATTTGGAATTTAGGTGAGGAATCTGTGTGAAAGGTGAGAGATCTTTCCTTTCTGTGCCGCTTTTTTAAATATACAAGGGGCCACTATTGTCCAGCTGTGTGTAGGGTGGGATCATGGAGATTACATGGGCTGAAAGAGGCATGAATAGAGGACGATTCTCACTCAGATTTCATCATATTACACATTTACCATCAACCCTGCATCATGTCATTAGGACATTATCACAACGTCCATTCATAAATATGGCTGCAGCATGCTGGGCTCTCTGGAGAAGGCATATTTATATGCATTTATTTACCTTGCTCTAATCATAACTAAAAGCCAAAATTATGGAAAACATAATGAAGGGTCTGCTCTGCTGAAGAATATAATGGCAATGGCTGATTTCTTTTTTTTTTTTTTTTTTTGGACCCATTCATCTTTATGTATTTTATTAAGCTGCAGACTAAAGTGAAGGTAGTAAAAGCTGGAAGCTAGTGAAAAAAAGATCACTCACAGATACTGATAGACATCCATGACCTATTTGGTTTTTCAAAAATGAAATATTGTTCATATTAGCTATTTTGACAAAATAAATACCAGGATCAGAAACAAAGTCTGCTCCTGACTACCTCCCTCCGCCTTAATCTTTTTAAAGTTTCTCAGCAGTGTGAAATATCAGAAGAAATTGTGACAAAAGTTTTATAGTTTGTACAAATTATTTTAAACTCTGACAATGAAAAATCAGTGAAGCTGTTTTCCTTCAATCCAGCCTGTGTGATGAACCTTCGTCAGTTCAGTCAATGTCCAATGGTGACCTCTTTGTTTCTCCGTCTCTGTTGTGTTCTTTAAATGCCTAATTATTCAGTTAGTGTGTGTGTGTACATCTTGGGTGTCTCTGCTAACGAGGGGGGAGGATCTGGAGTGCAAGAGCATCTACAAGAAGAGCTGGTGAGAGGAGGGGCACCTCAAACCAGAGTGTATATCAGACCCTCACAGTCTGGGTACGTTGACCACTCCTGAGCATCTGCTTCACCTTCCTCATTCTCCTGCTGGGTCCGAAACATTTTGATTCATTTCCTCCAGGTCCACTATGTTGGGGCAACTTCTTCAAAGTACTGTGATCCTTTGGCTGGTGCAGACAGCGTATACAGGCGGTGAGTATCTGCTGTCTAAAATGTGTAATGCTTTGTTATAATAAATGCAAGCATATAAGGGGGCAGGAAATTTGATAGTTAGCTGGGCAAATGAATAAATAATTAAAATGGACAAGGTTAGACCTTCCAGTCACTGGAAGACTTCCAGAAGATGTGTATCCTGTGTGTTCTGTGAAGTCTGTTATGTGTCTGGTCTGCTGTAGGGAGAAGGTGAAACAGTTTGCTTGGGAGTTATGAGCTGGCACATGGCCTAGGATGATGCTGTTGGCACTGAGGAAGCACTCTCTCTGTACATCTGTCATAATTTAAGCTCTCACAGTTGGTCCCCGCAAGTGACATATTCTATTTCATTGTTTCTCTTCTTACTGCTCTTGAACAAAATCTTGCCTGGTATCCTGAATTACAGCAGAAAATAAACTGAATATACCGAATGTTGACATTGCTTCAATTGAATCTTTCCTTTTATACAACTAGAATCTGTGATTGTGAAGAAAATCCTTAACATACAATTAAACACCATCTACTTTTAAAATGGAACTAAACTGTGCAAAATGAGGGCAGAATTTAATATACTGTTAAATGATTTCAGTAGAAATCTCAAACAATTAAATGTCCTAATTAAAATGATTCTTTTTCAAACTATACATACAGTGTACTAGTACTTTCATATTCTGCATATTGTTGGGTTTCTTGCATTCTTTAAACACTCTTCATGCTGAGTGAAACAGCTGAAGTATGGACAACCCGCTAAGAGTCTGGATGAGAAATGTTTTTCCATTGATGCCGCGTGGCTGTCGAATTTCAAGCAATCATGTTAAACTGAAATCGAGTTGCGTAGATCTTACATGTGGTCGGCCCTCTGCCAGATTTTCTTGTGATATGAAGCCGCTATATTGTCAGTCTTCTCTTTACCACTAGTCTCAGTTTGTGAAATCAAAGGCTGGTTGGCTGTAGTGGCAACAGGCTAAATCTAACATGCCTATGTGAGAAGGGAAGAGAATGGTTTCACTGCTTGTACACAGTCGCCCTATTGACTTTTAGGCTTCCCAAAAATGCTTCTCAGAGTGCTGAGTCACCGCGAGACTGGATTTTATGTTTAGAAATTTGAGTGTCATTCTGATTTAGGGACTGTATATAAATTGTTGTGCTGGGGAGGAGGAGGACTGAACCTTAGGTTTCACAAAAAGAATGCAAGGCCCTCCCCAGCATTACAATTTTCTATGGAGATTCAGATTGACGTAGTCTCCACACCTACCTACAATTTATTTCACTGCTAATAAATGGATGAAGGCAAAGCAGAAATCAGTGTACACCAGTGTACCTAAGCCTTAATGTAGGAATAGGATCATAATCTTCATTATATTTTCTAGTGCTTGAACATTAGAGGTGGATTTATAACTTGCCAAAATGTTTAAAATAAACTATGTTCAACAGTGCTGTTACTTAATTTTTGGTTGAAGAGCTCCTAAATAAGCGGTTATAATAACAAACATGGCACATGCAGGTGGCTGCTGATCAGTAGGAGCACTAGAGTATGTTGTTCCCACTCCCAGATTCCAAATGAAATCATAAAATAAAAACACATAAATCTGCAGCGCAAAGGGCCTCCATCAATTCCCCACTAATAATTTACAACATGTAAGTTTCTGAAATGAGTTTTTTTTTTTTTTTTTTGTCAGCCAGGTATTTGTATGAAGTAAAATAATTGCCCATAAGAATCACTGCAGTCTTCATAACTTGTGTTGAGCTTCTTTTGATATTGCCTCTAACATGGGCGTACAAAGCGTGGTGCGACGACTCAAATGGTAAGAGAGCAGGGTGGGTTGAACCCGTATTGTAACCTGACACTAGTTTTAACTTAAATCTGTTTAATGTTATGGTTCTGTATCTGGAGTATCCAGTTATTGCATTTATAAAATTTTGACAGAAACAAAAGCTTTTGTTTACATTCCCCATGTTTTTTAAATGTTGGAGATGTATGAAGAATACTGTTGCCATCAAAAGCTATATTAATTGCCACATTTTCCCATCTTTGAATTTCCCTGTTCATGACAGTGTTTTATTTCCAATGTATATATTTTTTTCTAAGGTGTGGGTGCACAGAATGGATACGGTAGATACCCCACAAAAGGAGTAGGTCAGTAATACAGAATCTGAAAATCAAATCTGGTTCAAGTTGAACTGATTTCATAGTTTAATTTTCCTAATGTTACATTCAGGTTATGGACCAGCTGTTGGTGTTTTGAGTGCAAATGGAGTTAAATCAAGTGGTAAACATCTTTCTACACCACCCAGTACAAATTGAGAGCTTGTTTTTATGATTTTCTTACCACATACTGTCTAACCCGTTTAAGGCTATGGTGCAGCAGCTGGTTTGACCAATGGGGGAAGGACAAAAAGTAAGTTCACTATGTACTGGTAGTCACTGTGTTTAAACAAATTGTCATTTGAAAAATATCAGAAATCTGCTGAATATTTAGGTGACATTTATGTTTTTAAGGCTATGGGGCAGCAGCTGGTGTGACAAATGGACAGGGTGGAAAACCACTGGGTAGGTATTCATTCCAATGTGGACTCGGCTCATGAAATACATTTTGAGGTGACTGAAATTCTTCCAGTGGGAGTTAGATAGTGCTAAACATCCTAGAAATGAAGTTCTCATATGTGTTTCAAGTGTAATAGTTGCCCACAAGACAACTTGTGAGTGGACACAACAGAGCTGATGGTTTAGGTAGTGTGTGTGTGAACACTTGTGACCACACACTGCAGTATTCAGATTTGAAAACCTAGAGGCACTAAGATGCACTGATGATGAGTTGCTGTGGCTGTTAAAGTTGTTTTTCTGACTAAACACATTTTTCTGTGCTTAAAATGCATATTTTACTATTTTTAATGTAACTTAACGATTGCTATAATACAATCATTTTGATTTTTGTTGCA